TATATATATATATATATATATATATATATATATATATATATATATATGTCCGATGTCTGATATTTAACTTTATCGCTAATATCGGCCAATACCAATACTATGCCGATAATATCATGCATCCTTACATATGTAGGTAAATATAGATATTTAACAATCCGTTAAAATACACCAGAATGCAGGAAATGGCACCTACGTTATTCAGAAATTTCTATGGGAGGACCCCGCCCCCCCCCCCCCCGTAGAACATGTACCGGTGTGTGTTTATGTTGGAAATGACTGCAGCCTCCTACTCTGAGCTGTTTGCCTCCTACTCAAAAAGTTGTTGAGAAGGCTGCAATTAAAACTTGCCTTCACAAATGGAAATAAAAATGTATTTCCTTTTTTTCAAACCCTGTAAGGATTTCGAATATGACAAGAACAAATAAGAGAGGCACAAAAAACTGTAAAACCAAAGGCGTTTGGTAAATGTATTTTTTAATTTTTTCTTTATTTTTCTTTTCATTTTGAAGGGCATGGAGTAAGTTGATTACTGTTTGTCTTAGTGATGTGTACTTTCTATGGCAGCAGAGAAATAAAGACGTTTTTACCTGTGAGATATTTGACAGTTCTGGTGCTGACATTTTGTTTCTTTTTTTTGACTGTGAGCACTTCATCACAATAAAAGCTTTACAAAGTGCAGTACAAAGACATCAGACTACTTCTTTGAGTAAACAGGTATTCTACTGAAGAGAGAACATGAATCATGTTTCACAGAAAAACTTACAATAAATATGCTTCATGAGACTCTCATTTTGATGAAAATTATATAGACTGCTGACGTTTTTTCTTGTGTTTTAACCAAAATCCTAAAGTGAGCCAAGGGGAATTTCAATTAACTCATACCATTCTTCCTCTTTTTCCATCCAGGGCTCCCTTGCATTTGTCCCACAGCAAGCGTGGATCCAAAACGCCACTCTCAGAGACAACGTCTTGTTTGGTTCTCCATATGAAGATGAGAGGTTTCAAGAGGTAATAGAGGCCTGTGCTCTTGGCCCCGACCTGAAGCTATTGGCTGCAGGAGACCTCACTGAGATTGGAGAAAAGGTAAGTTGGTGTGTTTGAAAGTTTGTTAGTCACCCTCTTTTTAAATGTTGCTTATGATAAGGTTACTGCAATGTGGATTACAGCTTTTGTAGTAGTCAACAAACCTCATTTATTTGTGTGTTCTCCTGTTTATCTTCAGGGTATCAACCTCTCAGGGGGTCAGAAACAACGTGTGAGCTTGGCCAGAGCAGCGTACAGCCAGGCTGACATTTATCTCTTAGATGATCCCTTGTCTGCTGTGGACTCTCACGTGGGAAAGCACATCTTTGATGAAGTGATTGGCCCGAATGGGGTTCTCAAAGACAAGGTTTGTACATTAAAATATTGAACTGAATCAGAATAAGCTTTATTATCGTTGCACTGAGATACAACGAGAACATATACGTACAGTCGTCTGAAAGAAGGACGTAGTGCACGAAGCTGCTACTATAAAAGCACGGCCTTTCTTATTCTTGTTCAGAATAATATTTTTGCTTAGATGAGAAAAGGGAAGAAAAAAAATTGAGCAATCTGTTTACCATTTTTGTTGTTGCAATTCTACATTTTGCAAAACAATATTACGCTATTACATCAGTGGTGTAGTGTACATTTTTGTAGTGGATATACTGTGCTTAGAAACCAAAGTACACTGGTTAGTACAATGTAATCATCAACTTATTTTGATTTTTAAGCATTTTGAATATTTCCAAATTTCTCTGCTGCTTATATATGAATAAATGAACAACAAACTTTGGACAACAGTTGGCTTTGTATTAAAAACGTGTTATAGACTTTATAAAATAGTATAAAAGCAAAATATGTTCAAGCATTAAGTAGTAAGTACAGAATTATACAATAATTCGCTGGATAAGTGAATGTAATAAACAAGCGCTGCATACAGATAAATTGTTACAGAAGCATTTAACTGCAGTTTAGTGTATTAATGATGTATCACTGGGCACTTGTAAGTTGGTATACTGACATTTTTAAGCTTTTCTATTGTGTATACTCCGTATGCCCACGTATCGCGTAGACTACACCACTGTATTAAACTCAGCACCTCCCATAAATTCCCAAATAGGGTTAAGTTTGGGGATAAATGTATGATTGAAAACGATGTCTCCAGCTCTCTGAACCACTCTGATCATTTGAGACTAATGCATTGCAGTGTAACCCTGAATTTTGCTCATCACTTCAGGGAAGAAAGAAATCTGATGATAGAAGCCTTTGATGTTCTGTTTATTCAGGTTGATCATTGATTTGGTCTTTTGGTCACAAAATGATACTTAAAAAAAAAAAAAACTAACAGAAGCAAGCCCAGCAAAACAACCTGCACTGTGCACATTTAACTTTATGTGCCACTTATATGTGCTCATAAAACTGCACTCGCTCCATTTCTCCATTTGTTTTAGACTTGCTTTATGAATAATGTGATTATAAATTTTAGATTCACAAAAAAAAACAAAAAACTGTGATGAATTTAAGCAACGGATTTGTGTTGTATGAACAGAGGCTGAGTGTTGTTTTCTGTCTGTACAGACTCGTGTCCTGGTGACTCATGGAATAAGCTTTCTGCCTTTCGTGGATGAAGTGGTGGTCTTGGTAGATGGAAAGGTTTCTGAGGTCGGATCCTACAAAAGCCTTCGTGCCAGCAAAGGGGCATTTTCAGAATTTTTGGACACATACGCCAAAGAACACAACCATCAGAGCAGTTCAGAGGAAGGTACAAAAACATCTCTCTGTTATGGGTATAATTTGACAGAGGACTCAATTTTCATAGTTCAACTAAAACCTATGCTGCATTTTTGAGTTTTGTGTATTATTTAATTTTGGTCTGTGGGTAATGTGTTTGTTCTTTAATCAATATGCTTTCAGATGGTTGCCAGGTTACAGAAGACGTAGACATGCTTATTGAGGAGGACACTCAAGCAGACTTTCCTCCAGAAGATGCCGTTTCTTTTACATTGAAGAGAGAGAACAGCATGCGCCGCAGCCAAAGAGGCAGCAGGTTCGCTCACACTCTGATGTAAACTGTCTGATGATACAAAAAAAAGGGACAATATACTGACCCATTTCAATGGCTGACTTTAAAAAAAATTCATCCGGTCAACGTCATTTGTTTGTTTGTTTTTCCAGTGTTCGATTAAGAAAAAATGGCTCTTTAAAGATTTCTGAAAATGACGGTGAAACAAAAAAAGGTCAGAGGCTGATCGAAAAGGAAGCTATGGAGACAGGACAGGTACGTGTTTTACATCTAATACAAATGACATGAGCGTGTTTTTGAAGGGAAATTATAGGAAATGTGCTCTGTCTTTAACAACCAGGTGAAGTTCTCAGTGTTCCTCCAGTACTTGCGGGCCTTGGGCTGGGGATATGGTTTTTGGATCTTCTTCTTTTACTTCATCCAAAACATTGCCTTCATCGGTCAGAACTTGTGGCTGAGTGACTGGACCAACGATTCAGTAGAGTACTACAACAAGACATACCCTTCCTGGTTACGAGACACCAGGGTGGGAGTGTTTGGTGCTCTCGGAGTGGCTCAGGGTAACAATTTTTGAATTATTTTAAACTTTATACAATCTAGTTTTAAAGATAAACACGCCCGCATTTTTAGTGACATTACTTTAAACAAAAATTTTGAAGCACTAAACATCCATTCAGAGTTCATGCTCAGTAATCCAGGTAGAAAATTCAACAAAGTTCAGTCAGATCATCTGGACGGTTTCTTTATTTTGTTGTTGTTGTTGAGATGTTTCGTCCTTCATCCAAAGGACTTCATCAATCCGAGGAGCCACAAACAAACTGAGTCCCACAAAGAACACACCCACTTGTAGACCAACCAGTTTACTGGTGACGAGATGGTTTCTGGGGTCCGCACTCTCCCCCGTTGACGCCTCTGAGGCAGCCATAGCTAAAGTGGTTCAAAACATTAAAGTTCATGCTCAGTAATCCAGGTGGAAAATCCAACAAAGTTAAAGTAAGTCAGATCATCTGGGTGGTTTCTTTTTTTTCTTTTCTTTTTTTTTTGTTGAGACATTTCGTCCCCCATCCAAAGGACTTCATCAATCCAAGGAGCCAAAACAAACCGAGTCCCACAAGCAGCAAAAAAATGTGATGCACAAAACGTGCTGCTTGTGGGACTCAGTTTATTTGTTGCTCCTTGGATTGATGAAGTCCTTTGGATGAAGGATGAAACGTCTCAACCAAAGCTATCCAGATGACCTGACTGAACTTTGTTGGACTAAACATCCAACTTCTACATATGACATGATACATCCTTTGAAACTCAACAAGGGGTTTGAGGAATAAAACGAGTCAAAACTGATTTTTGTACCAAAGAAAGCAAAGTCCCACTTCAGGCTGACAACATGTACTAAGTAGAATACAATGTTTTTATATTTCACAACTCAAGCAGTACTCTCAATTTTCTGGTCAAGGTACACGTGCTTCATTTTTTTCCTGAAATTACTTATGATTGCTTTGATAAGTGTCAAATCAAATCAGATACAATTTGCTCTCAAATTGTGTTTGAATTAATCTGAAGTTCAAATTGATGTATTTTTTAAATAAAGTTTTATATTTATTATATAGATTAAACATAAGTGTGTACTTACATACTGATATTTGTTGCAGTTTGTGAGCTTTTGGATCATTATAAAAATGTTGTTTATGCACAAAACATGTGACTGCAATTAACAACCAGTGCGTTTTATTAAATAAGAACAAATACATTTCTTTATTACCGTGACAATGTTCTTGACTACATCTACAATCATACTATAAGGAAAAGCGAAGTGAGCTGCGTGCTACTTTAAAAAAACAGATCATGTTTAGAGTACAACTTGTTTTCTGTATTTTTGACTATTAAAACTTCAAACCTCTGCTTTTATTGCAGGTGCCCTTGTGTTCCTCGGCACACTGATTTTTGCCAAAGCTTCGGTTAACGCGTCTCAAATCCTGCATTCACGGCTGCTCAACAACATCCTGCGAGTGCCCATGCTTTTCTTTGACACGACACCCATCGGAAGAGTGGTCAACCGCTTTGCAAAGGTAGAGTTGGGGCTTGATTTCGCTTTTTGAACAAAAAACAAATATATAACTGTGATTTCCTGTTTTACCAACAACAACAACAAAAAAAAACATCTGTGTTGCATAAAAGTTTTACATTTCAATAAAGACTAACTCCTCCTACGCTGGTCCTGAAGGACATATTTACCATAGATGAAGCCATTCCTCAGTCCTTCCGCTCCTGGTTGTTGTGTCTGCTGGGCGTACTGGGGACGCTGTTCGTCATCTGTTTGGCCACGCCCTTCTTCACCATCATCATCGTTCCTCTGGCTGTGATCTACTACTTTGTACAGGTGAGTTAACCTGGACAGGAGATTGAACCAACATGGAACATAAGAGCGTAGGTGGACAACGTGTAAAATTAGGGATGTTTTTAAAACAACATCAAACACTGTAAAATGTAAATTAAAAATGTAGTCCTCTGCAGATTATTTAGGCAAAACATTTCCTTGAAAAGTGTAAATAAGGTTGAAGTCAGATGATAGAGCTAATATAAATAGTTTTGTTTTGTTAAAGCATTGGCCAGTTTTGATTTGGAACTGAACAAATTTAATAAAAACTGAAACAAGTGTATGTTCTTGTTGAACTTCCATAATATTAATTGGAGTTAACGCAGCATTCAAGCAAACACAGTCTTTATTTCATTTTACCCTCGCCTGTTCTGTAAGAGCTGAACAGGTTTTGCCATCTAACACAAATAAATCAAGGCCTCTAGGTGTGAGCAGAGACAATCTCCACTTTCCTGTCACCATCTCATCCACTTCTCTCACCAACAATGATGTGTCTTAGACGACACAGAGAAGAAATCTTCAATCCAAGCTGCTGTCTTACCTTTTATCTAAGCTCTCAGCCTGCATATCATTCAGAGTAAAAGTCAAATGTTTGCTCTGCAAATTCATAAAGTAGGGGTTCATGCTTTTAGATTTTAAACCACAAAGACTGTTTCCCACTTTAACTCAGTTCATCAAATATCATTCAAACCTCAGGTGCATTTAAAAATTTTAACTTCTCAAGTAAATTATATATATATATATATATATATATATATATATATATAT